TGTCCTGGCCCCACAGACGCTTACAGGCTGACTCACAAGCAGAAGGATCTCGTCCCTCACTCTCCATGGCTGAATTCAGAGCCTGTGTTTCCTGCTGCTCATTCTCAGCTGGTGGAGCAGAACATCCACCCGTAACAGGACCAAGAATGTAGCAAATGACACTGACACACATCACCACAACGACACCCAAGGGCACAGGTTGTAAAGGGTGTTTCCTTTTTAAGTCTTGTTTTGTTTAACTTTGACCTTGTTCTTCATAGTGTTTTTGTTCCTTTAGACTTGGCCTTGAGTGCCCCTGCAGCTGTGCGGGACCCACGCGATAAATGAGAACTGAAGAGTTCTCTGCAGCCGTGTGTTGTCTGTCTCTGTGTCCTTTCCTGGCGTCTGTTCTAGGCCTCTAGAGGCCCTAAAACTGGTATAGATGGTGCCTATAGACATGGAAAAAGCAGAGTCTCTGGTTATGAAGAAAACTAAAGATTATGGTTGGACCATAACTTTGTCCTACTGGCCTGAATACAAGAAAACAAACTTGTTAAGCAAAATGAGACACTAACAGAGACTGCCTGCGGACTGGGACAAAACTTTTGCACACACTATTGACAGGGTGCTGAACACAAAAGGCTACAAAGAGCTCACAGGACTCAACAAAACAAAGAAACAGTCCAGTCAAACAATGGCAGAAGAGCTGAAAAACACTTCTCCAAAGATGAAATGCAAATGCCCACAGGTATATGAAAAAATGTAATCAGGGAAGTGCAGAGCAGAAGCAGAATGAGCTACCACCTCACACCAGAACAAATACAGATACTGTTTTAGACTTCAGCTCACCACCTCCAAGGGCTCTTTCAGGCGTGAATGTGCCCCGGTGACTTGACAATGCAGGAGCATCGTCAGTCTGCACGGGCGGCCTGAAATTGCAGTGAGCTGGAGGCCCTCAGCAGGACTATCTCACACTGGGTGACCTTGGGGACACAACCTGGCTTTTGCTGGTCTGAAGACCTACTTGGATTCACTTTTGAAGGACAATTTTGGTGAATATACAATTCTGGGTGGACTTTTTTTGTTTGTTTAGGAGAGGTATTCTACTTGCTCATACCCTTTTACATTACTGAGGTGGCCTTGGGTGAAGACCCTGTACCTGACATAGGGGTCAGGCTACCCTCAGAAGCCTGTGCCACACCCCACCTCCACCCAAGCACCCAGTCCTCACTGTGACCTCTGTGGGCTGTTTCCTGCTGAGATGGGTCAGATGGGAGAGGAGGCACAGAGGCCCCCACAGATCACCGTGGTAGAGGGGAGTCTGTCGCATCTGCCTCTGCCAGGACCCCAGGGTCACGCTCATGACAAGGCAGAGGAGGCCACACATGAGCAGTCACTGCAGCCCTGGAGGGCAGAACAGGACAGGGAGAGAGGACCCCCGAGGCTCCAGAAACTCCCCTGAGAGAGGAAGCTTCTCGGTCACCAAGGCCCCAGACGAGGCAGGCACTTTTGGAAAAGGAGCAGGGAGGGAAGAACTGAGGACTGTACAGAAAAATCCACCAGCAGAGGGTCCATCTGCCTGGTCCCAGCTAAGGGCGCAGCCGAGAGCCGGGACCCCGCTGGCCGGGCCTGGCTGAGAAGCTGCAGCGGCAGCACCAGCGCTGTCTCCCCCCATCAGCGACTCCCAGTAGGGACAGAGCTCACGCTGCTGGCCTGCCACCCAGCTCCCAAGGCGAGGCTCCTGGCGCTCCTCGGTCTCAGACAGCATCCAGGAGGTGCGTTACCTGGACACCTAGTGAGGACTTTTCTCTGTAAAAACATCTCGAACGTGTAAGATGTCTCCCTGTGACTGCATAAAATTCTCATCCTGAGGCTTGGATGGAAACAGGAGCCCCAGGGCCTAGCCCTGGGCAGACTCAGAGCAGATCATGTCAGTGATGTGGCTCAGTTTCTCCTCTGGCACCTGGGATATGCTGTTGTTACTGATGATGATTATTGAAACAGCTTGATCCACTACCCTCTCCCAGAGCACCTTTACTGCTCACGGGACTCCGGAGGCCAGAGGGAGAGTGTGGCTTCTCCCCAGGAGACAAGTGGGTCTCAGAAGGGCTGATCTGGGGGCCACTTGCTCTCTTAGGTAGAAGAGAGGCTCTAAGGGGGCCCTGGAGGTGACCTCACCGGGGTCTGCAGTGTCCACATGGGGAGAGGGGCTCTGGGCATCTCTGCCTTACTGTCCCCTCACTGGCATAAGAATTGACACTTGTCCTTCCCTCCTTAGGCCGGGATTTCTCTGTTCTCTAGCTTATGAGCTGGCAGGCAGCAGTTCAGAAGAAGGTGAGGACATAGTCTAGGTGTGTAGGAGTGGGGGGCTCATTGCCCACCTGGAAGAGAAGGGCAGGAAAAGCACCCCTGTTTTTGTCATCTATGACCTGTAGCCAAAGGCACCCCTTTGGGGTCTCAGAATTGTGGGGGAAGGTGACTTGCACCCAGGAATGGGAGGGGAGACGCCCATGGATGAGTCACCCCCACCTGAGCCCCGCAGGTCCTCATCCTGCCCTGCTGCTCCCCGTGGGTCTGAGCGTGCAGTTGGCGCCTACCTGGGGGACGGTCTTCCAGGCTGTGACGCTGCAGGACATGAGGAGGAGGCCTGTCCTGCTCTCGGGGGTGTCTGTAGGACTGACTGGAGGCCAGGGACACCAAGGGGGGTCAAGGGGCCCATTGGGGGGACAATCTATGAGGACAGACTCTGGGGCCGGCCAGAATCAGGATGTTGTCAAGAGTTATGTTCCACGTGGGGTGTGGGGAGAGGTGGGTGGGGCTCAGGATTGGGACAGATTTAAGAGTCATGGATTATTGAAGCAAAACCATGACCACGAATCAGGGACGTGGCGAGAGACCCCCTGTCCAGTGTGAAGAGCTGTGGGGTCCAGGACGGGGGTGCTCAGGAAGGCAGGAAGCTTCTCAAGCCTGAGAGAAAGAATCTGGGGACAAAGTAAACTCACTCGTGTTCTAGATCACAGCACAGTCCACAGAGGGAAGGATGTGGAGGGACCCTGAGCTATACCCCCATTTACACCACACTGTCAGTGAGAAGATTCATGTATTTTAATTCTGTCCTCTGCTTAGGCCCAACAAGGCAAAATACCCTGACACAAGGGGACACAGTCTCAACACTTCTGATGGTCATTTCAGCTGAAACCTAGGAAATGGTTTTACTGTCTCACCACTTCACAGAGGTATGTAGTTAGCATGCTGTTATGGGAAGTGGTTAATTTTATGTCTTAAAAACCTCAGAAAAGTTGATTGTTGATTTATATTTAAGGTGTAAGGTGTCTGGCTTCTGTGTTTTCTGTTAATAATTTGTTATTAGGGGCCTCCCTGGTGGCACAGCAGGTTAAAGCACAGCACTAAGAGGCTACAGCCACTTCAGCATGAGTTGGACCCCCGCCCTGGTGGTGACCCACATGGTGCAGCAGACCTCTCCTGACCCACCCACTGCTCCCCTCAGCAGTGTACTTCATCAGTCAGCCTATTCTGCTCCCCACTCTGTCTCTGGTGAATCCTCTCACCATCCCTGCACCTATGGCCTGTAACCCAGCTCTGTAAGCACAAATAAATAAATCTTAAAAAAATAAAATAAATTAGATTAAAATAGTTATTAATGTTAAAGGGATTAATGTGACTTGAGTGACTGCATACAGGTTAATTATAAAATGGAAAAAAATCCTTCTCTTTCTTTTGTTTAAAAAATAATTTTTATTTATTAATGCATAAAAGGACTGTGGTATAAGCCAGAGTTGTGGCAGGGAGTTGTGGAGAGGATTCACCAGACAAATTAGGGAGCAGAATAAGCAGACTGACTGAAATACACTGCTGAGGGGAACAGCGGGTGAGACAGGAGAGGTCAGCTGGGCCATGGCCTGGCCGGGAATCGAACTCATGCATCAGTGACTGGTGATAGCTTGATAGTGCCGAGACTTTAAACCCTGTTCACCATAGAGGTCTATGTCTTTGTCACTCATCTAGCTTTAGACAGTACTTTTTCTAGAAGAAATCATCGTCTCTTACTCTAATGAATTTATGCCTCAGACATTGCCTGTAAATACAAGTTTGTCTAATAGTTACCATATCATACCATGGTCACACATGGCTGTGAAGGTGTGAAAACAGCTCAGTTCCTGCTAATGACCAACTAACAGTCTTGTGCATGAAAGGAAAAGGGAGAGTTAGATAAACTTCTTTGTTGAAAGGTCAAAGATGAACAACATCATATTGATATATGACATTTATATGGGGTGGTCACATCTATTTTGGTGTTTTGTATCTATATGTACATGGCTGAAAATCAAAACTATCAGAATAAATATAAGTAACCACGACGAGGAACCAGGCGTGGGCTCTGCCCCAGGGAGAGTGTGGTCACAGGAGCCTGCCAGGGAGCTTCAGACTAGACTGTGGTGGTTACTCAAAGGAAGGAGGACGGATAATTATACTGTTAAGTGAGTTACTTAAATGTCATTGTTTCCAAGAGTAGAAAATAATAATGTTTCATGATTTTTTTTCATGATATTTTTGACAAGAGTCAAAACTCCTCTAATAATATACTTAAGATTTTTTACATTTCTCAAAAAAAATAAATAAATAAAATACAGTATTTCTCAAAAAAAAATTTGCCCAATTTGAAGTCTAGGAGTTCATTGGAACGTTCAAATGCTGAGAATTGATGTGTACTGACCTCTGCAACGTAATTTGAAATGCACTGGAAAAATAAGACAGATGAGTAGGAAGACAGAGCCCTGGATACAGATCAGAGACAAGCAAATGCGTCGAGGGCTCAGCTGGGCCTGGCCGTGTGCTCTGCACTGTTACTGCAGCTCTTCTGTGGGTTGAAGATGGTCCTGAGACACCACAGACTGAGCGGGGATGCAGCCAGCTCTGGGGGCAGGTCAAGACCTCCACTCCAGCCTGTCCTGTTTTTCCCCTGAACAAACCCCCACAGGTGCTGTGGACCCCACCCCACTCCAACCAAAGCCATCCAGACGCGGGAAACTACAAATCCTATCACCTCGGAAGGGAGGATGCTGGGGCCTGAGGGTGGAGCTAAGCATCCTGGTTTGGTATAAACCAGACATGTGGACCTTGGGGACCCTGTTTGTGGTCCTGGGTGGCCTCTTGCTCTCTAGGATTTTGTCTCTCAACCTCTCGGCCTTTTGGCTGGACCCTCAGCTTTCAGAGAATCTCACAGTGCAACTGGGATTCCAGGTCAACGGAACTGGTAAGACACATTTACCAATTTATTTCCCTTTCTTTCTCCCTGAAATATTCATTTCTTCACTTCTTTTTCTTTTGTAAATAAGCCCTTCACTGACCTTTTTGTGTGAGCTGTAGTTTATTATTATAAGTCACTCAAGTGCACAATGAGGACCCACAGTCAGGCCCTGTTTCAGATCGAGGCTGCCTGTAACACTTCAAAGCCTCAGAGGCACACTTTTTTCTGAGTCATATGGTCGATGGAGATGACCACTAAGCTGTTCCATGAGCCTGTGAGCCAGGCAGAAATCTCAGTCTGACTGGAGTATCAGTGTCTCCTCATTGTCAGCTCCCAAAATGCTCACCTGTCTGCCTCCTGGAGGTTCTGCAGCAGCTGCGCTCTGGACGTGGCCTGGTCTGATTCTACTGACACCCTCTTCGATGGAGATCTGTGCTGTACAAAATGCTTAATGTCCTCCTTGACCTGAATCATGTTCTCTCAGAAGAGATGTCTCCTGTGTCAGGGCTGGGGCACCACAGAGCATGTGGGCATGTTTTGAAGGGCCTGGTGACTTGCTTCCTCCTGGTGTTTCAGCCTGTTGGGTGAATAACTGCAGCTTCCCCCATCCCCTCCGCCCCCAGGGAGGCCTTGTCACTTCCAGCAGGCCTTCTAGCGCCCCCTGGAGGTCACCTTGCCCTCTAACACTTCATGTTGCAGTTTGGAGCCAGGATCCCAATAAGTCCCTGCTCACACCACCAGCTGCTCCCCAGGGCTCCAGAGATGGCTCTCAGTGGTAAGGAGACCTGAAAGGGGGACCCTGGGAGCCTCAGCACAGGCATGTGCACCCTGAGGCCCCTCTGGCATGTTGTTGAGGTCCACCTTGGGGACCAGGGTTGGCATTGTTATGACTCCGTGAGAGCCAGTCACAGCTGAGCAGTGAGTAACCAGGATACTTTTCCTTCTTGGGCTGATTTTTATTGGTCCCGAGGTTATAATTACCTTGTTCCCTCACTATCTTAGTTCCTGTTGTGCTCATTCCTACCCCCATCCCAGGGTTAGACTCTCCATGGACACATCACACAGCCCAGCTCTCCTGCCCGCTCCATCCTCCAACCCTTGAAGTCACCCAGAATCTGTCACAACTCCATGAGGTCAAAACGATGTTCAAAACATCACTAGACACCATTTGTGTTTCCACTATTTTGGCATTTAGTGACGTAAAATTTAGTAAGAGTGGAGATTATAGTACCAGCTGCAGAAGCAATAATTCTTCCCAGCACTTACCTGCAGAAACAAAAGCTAAAGACAGCTTCACTTGAAAATGTCCTGGAAAAAGCTTTAAAAGTTGCTGTCATTTTGTGCCATCCTCAAATTCACATTTTAAAATACCTGGTGTGATGAACTGTGAGCACACAGAGCTCTCTGTGGGATTCCCTCACTGCACCAAATTTGCATAGATGAGTAAGAATATGTTTATTTGTGGCAACACCATCTTTACTTGAAGGGATGAAAGACAAAAATTAAAGTTATTTAGATTTAGTTAATTAACAGACACTTTCCTCAAATGAATGTCTGCTTCTTTAGGAAAATCAAGACCGTTGACAAATGATAGTAATTTTATCTTGATGAAGCATAAGCTCTCAGAGAAAACCTGAATTATGAAAAATTGTTGTCATCACTACTTGACAGCTTATTAGTACTTATTTTACTTCTGGGATTTGTGATCAAAAAATAAAACTTTTTTTTTTTATAATTTGATTCCAGTGTAACACTGAAGATCTATGTAACTTAGTAAACAACATATTACCTACAAAAAACCACCACACATTAGCACAAGTTCTAGCCAATAGGCAAGAGAGGCCTATAGAAATGCGACAGCACAGGAGATACTCCATGGTGTTATTTCAGGTTTCCCTTTGCCAATAACCTTCGAGAACCACCTGTATAGTTTTAATTTCATACCAAAGTGGAATATTAACAGTTTTCTGAAAACACTGCCCAGGTTCCCACTCCCTGAGGTTTTTCTCCACTGCGATGACCCAGCCCAGCCCCAGGGAGCCCCGCTTCATCACGGTGGGCTACGTGGACGACACACAGTTCTTGCGGTTCGACAGCGACTCTATGAATCAGAGTGTGGAGCTCAGGGCACCCTTGGCGGGGCAGGTGGGGCAGGAGGATCTGGACGAGGAGACCGGGAACCAGAAGAACGAGGCTCAGTGGTTCAAAGCGCTGTTGCAGGATCTGTACGTCCACTACAACCAGAGCAACAACGGTGAGCTTCCTGGAGCCGCCCGGGATGAGGTCAGCACCACCATCCTATCATAGGCCAGGCGGTGTCCCGCGTCTCAGGGTCCCACTGACCCCTCGAGGCTGGGGACCTGCCAGGCCTCTCCCCCGGGGAAGAGCCCCCGGGACCCTCCCGCCTGCAGTTTCATGTTCAGTTCAGTTTGATTCAGGGGGAGAGGGCGGGTGACCCCCGGTGACTGCAGGGCTGACCCGGGGGTTCAGGGATTCACACCGTCCAGAGGATGTGTGGCTGCGAGGTGGGGCCAGCCTGGAGCTTCCTCCGCGGGTACGAGCAGTTCGCCTATGAGGGCACCAATTACATCGCCCTAAACCCGGACCTGCGCTCCTGGACCCCCGCGGACACGGTGGCCCAGATCACCCAGCGCCAGTGGGAGGCTTCAGGGAGGGCGGAGCAAGTCAGGGCCATTCTGCAGGGCAGGTGCCTGAAGTGGCTCCGCAGACTCCTCGAGCTGGGGAAGGAGGTGCTGCAGCGCACAGGTAAGGGGGGCTCAGGCCTCGGACTCCCCTCACCCTGGGCCCCACAGGGAAATGGAATCATGGGCAGAACAGCGCCTGCTTTCTGGTTAGAGGGGAGGGGCCCCTGGGTGTCATATTCTGTACCTGAGAGAGACTCAGCCAGAGACACTGCTTTTCTGGACAGTTAAGTAGTCGGGTCTCTCCTGATCGGGGGAGGCCATACCAGAAATCACCCTTCACCGCATGTTTGACCCCTCCCCCCCGATCATTCTGGAACCTTGAGTTTTTCTTTCAGGCTTTATTTTTGGCCTGAGAACAGTTTCGGACCTGACTCTGCCTTTCTCTGTCACTCACCCCCACCCAGGGCAGGAGCAGAGTCTGTGTCCTCCTTAGAGACCTGCACCCTCCCACCCTGGGATCTCACCCCATGATCCCATATTCCCCAGATAGGGCTGGGCTCTGGGTTTGTGTTTCTTCCTCCAAACTGACTGTCCTGTTCATTCTGAGGGTAATCATGTAAGGCTGCTTCAGTGTCTATGGAGGACACTGAATAATAACACAAAATGTAATGTTTCTGATTTGTTCCCCTTCAGATCCCCCAAACACACACATGACCCACCACCCTATCTCTGACTGGAACGTCACCCTGAAATGCTGGGCCCTGGGCTTCTACCCTGCGGAGATCACCCTGACCTGGCAGCGAGATGGGGAGAACCTGACCCAGGACACAGAGCTAGTGGACACCAGGCCTGGGGGGGATGGAACCTTCCAGAAGTGGACAGCTGTGGTGGTGCCTTCTGGAGAGGAGCAGAGATACACGTGCCATGTGCAGCATGAGGGGCTGCCGGTGCCCCGAGTCTTGAGATGGGGTGAGGAGGGGATGTGGCACAAAGGCTGTTCTCAGGGGGATCAGGGACCCTTCTGGGGACTTTCAGAGGGTCAGGATGAGGCCTGGGGCTCATGGTCTCCCCTCCCCTTCCCTTCCAGAGCCCTCCACCCCCACCGGGGGCCTCATCGCTGGCCTGGTTCTCCTTGGAGCTGTGCTCACTGGGGCTGTGGTGGCTGCAGCTGTGATGTGGAGGAAGAAGTGCTCAGGTAGGGAGGGAGTGGGGGTTCAGATCCATTTGGGGCTTTCAAGTCCCAGGGAGAACTTGCCCTGCCTGGTTAATGGGAAGCACCAGCCACACACCTGTGCTACCCAAAGGGGTTTGGTCCAGTTCCCCCTCTCTCTCCAGCATAATGTCCTCTCTCCATTTTCCTAGTCCTGACCTGGGGCTTTAGTCACAATTCTGGAAACTTCCCTCTAGTCCAGAATTAGAAAATATCTTTAGGACTTCTGACCTGACTCCACCCTGCTCTCACATGATGTTTCTTCCCACAGGGGAAAGCTACACTCTGCCTGTGGGTAAGTGTGGATCAGGGAGATGTGTAGATGGAGCCCCTGGGGGAGTCACCCCATCAGTCCCTCCTGTGCTCTGCTCCCTCATGGCTCTGACCAGGTCTGTGTTGTTCTCCCCCAGGCAGCGACAGTGACCAGGGCCCTGATATGTCTCTCAGCCCCTAAAGGTGAGACCCTGAGGCCAGCATGGGAGGGGCTTGGCCAAGAGGAGGGACCAGGTTATGGGGGAGCGTGAGGGGGGCATTCTGAGGCTGGGTGGGCTGTTGACAACACTAACATTTAGTGATGCACTTGAATTTGTTCCTGACCAGTTTCCTTCAGAGTGAGACAGCTCCTTGTGGGGCCTGAGGGTTACAGGATTTCTCTCCTCCCCATTTTGTGACTTTGGAACTTCTGGTTTGTTTAATTTTATTTGTTTTCTAGCTGTCAGCAATTGATTTAAATTATTTAAATTGATTTATTTGTTTTCTTACACTGCTAGTTTTGTATAATATCTGACTGTCAGTCTGGTCCTCACAATTCTCCGCTCCACAGCACCCTGACGCATCACCTCAGTCCCTGGGCTCTTCCCTGCCCTGTTCTGACACCTCCCCACTCCCAGTGTCACCAGCTCAGTGTCCTGGGTCAGGTCCTGCCCATCCACTGCCAGGTCAGCATGATCTCTGCAAGGTAGAAGCCTGGGACCCAGCTCCTCAAAGTTAGAGGTGGGTGGTGGGTCTTTGTGAAGAGCTGTGGAGTCCAGGTTACTGATGGACTAAAAAGAAACATTGTGGGCTTTTAAAGAACAAGGGTCTCTTGCACCAGAAAGGGAGTATGTTTTTGCTGGCAAGACTAAATGTTCAGACAGTGTACAAACAAGGGGGGTGAAAAAGTATGGAGCCGGGGACTGTGGGATATATAAGGAGGGAATCGGAACAATAAAGAAGCTTCCTTTTGCCTGCGAATCCTGTGTGTATGTGAGTGTGTGTGTGTGTGAGTGAGTGTGTGTGAGTGTGTGTGTGTGTGTGTGTGCCTGGTTCATTATCATCCCCAGCCCGCACCTCGAGACCGCGTTGCCCGGCTGGCCCGGGGTTAACAGGTCCTTGTGTTTTTGGGGGATCTGAGAGGGAACAAATATTAGAGATCCTCTAATATTTATCCCTTTCCTTCTAACTTATTTCTCTTAGCACAGTCCTTTCTAGTTCATCCATATCATCCAACCTACATGGGTTTATTTTTTCTGGTCACTGAGTAGTATTCCATTACATATATACACACACACATACATATATATATAACACATACATATATACATACATATATATGTAATATCTATGCATACATGTGTATATATAAATGTGTGTGTATGCATATATATATTTATCTCCTTATCTTTTTTTTAAAGATTTATTTATTTGTGCATACAGAACTGGGGTACAGGCCAGAGGCTCAGGGGCGGCGAGAGGCTTCACCAGAGACAGAGTGGGGAGCAGAACAGGCAGATGGACGAAGTACACTGCTGAAGGGAGCAGCGGGCGGGTCAGGAGAGGTCTGCCGCACCATGTGGGTCAGCTCTGGGGCAGGCGGGGATCAAACTCATGCAGAAGTGGCTTTAGCTTCTCAGTGCTGTGCTTTAACCCGCTGCGCCACCAGGGAGGGCCTATCCTCATCGTTTAAAAAAATTCCTTTCGGCACAGCAGACCTCTCCTGCTTGCCCACTGCCCCCCTCAGTAGTGTATCTCCATGTATCCACCTGCTCTGTTCGCCAGTGATCTCTTGAATCCTCTCACTGCCCATACCTCTCTTGTGTGTATAAATACATACAAGAGCTACACTCCAGTTCTTGATATATAAATAAATAAATCTTTACAAAAACTAAAACCATAACAGAATTTCTTTTCTTACTTTTCTGTAGCCCCTATAGTTCCCCCATCAGCACATCACCCTGAACAATCCCCTTACTCCCTGTGTTCCTCCTCCTGTTCTGGCCTCCTCCACTCCCTCCCTAGCTGTGAGCCTCAGATCTATAGTCATTTTTCTCACTGTGACTTTTTCATAATGTTTTGTTTCATTTCTTTATATTTCACATGTAAGTGAGACCATGTGATACTTAATCACATGAAATATTCCTTCTGACTTAACCCCTTCCAGGTCCGTCAATAGCATAAATTTGTCCTTTTTGATCACTGAGTAGTATTCCATTGCATAAATATACCAAACTTTTTGATTTCAGGGCATTTGGGTTGTCTCCATGTCTTCACTACTCTGAATAGTGCTGCAGTAATTACAGGAATCAGGTTTCCTCGAATTAGTGTTTTTTTGTTTACTGGGTAGATTCCTGGGAGTCGATATCCTGGATCACATCATAGATCTATTTTTAGTGTCTGAGGAGCCTCCACACAGCTTTCCACAGTGGCTGGGCCAGTTTGCCTCCCACCAACACCCAAGAGGGTTCATTTATCTCCACATCATCTTTCCAAAGCATTTACTGTTTCTGGCTTGTGTTTTTTTTTTTTTTCCCCATGTGGGCCCCTCTCACTGGAGTGAGGTACTCCACACCTTATGCTCCATCAAAACCCCCTCATTCAAAACACAATTAGAAACCATGTCACACCTGTGCAAATGGCCCATGCCAAAAAGACCAGACACAGTGAGGCCTGTTCTGCACTGTTTGGGGGATGCAGCCAGGCTCGGCCCTGAGGGAAAACAGTGCCCAGGTTTCTCAGAGAATGAAAGTGGATCCGCCACAGGACCCAGTAGCCCATGCCAAGGCGCCACCCACAGAGCACACACCCCACTGTGAGGCCCCACTCTCCTGTGATCCCTGCAGCCTACTCACGATGGCCAAGCTGTGGGGAGGAGTGCAGAGGACAGATAAACCTCATCAGAATATAAACCCATGTGGTCTGGGGCAGCGTGGATGGGGCTGGAGAGGACCGTGCCAACTGAGATAAGCCAGGGGTGAAAGACAAGTCCATCCCTTCTGTGTGGGTGTGGGGAAACCAGACAAAGGGCTGGACTTCAAGTAAACCCTTGAAACCTCCCCCCACAGGCTGTGCCTGTTGCTGACCAGAGCTGGTCAGCAGCGCTGATGGGGACTGAACCTCTCTGGTTTGGGTCAGACTCATTTGACAACAAAGCCAGATGCCAGCTGATGGGGTCCCCCATTGTGTATTATTGTGCCTACAACACCCCAGGACCCTCCAGCATCTTCTATTTGCTCAGTCTGAGACAGATCTTGTACTAGTGCTGCAGATAATTATTTTTTTTATTATTTTTTTATTTATTACAAAGTTTATTTTTACATCATTTTGCACATTTTTTTTCTATCTCGATTGTGTAATCCTTGCGGGTTTCCCATCACCAAATCACCCCTGTGCCACCACCATAGTCCCGTGCATTTCCCTCCCTTCCCCCTCACCCCCGTTTTTTATCCCATTCCCCACTCCAACCCCACAGAATGTCTCTGGTCTATGGTTGTTCATTATTTTTGTTATTTTCTCGCCTGATCCATTATACTCTTGCTATGAGTGAAACCATCTGGTATTTTTCTTTCTCTTTCTGGCTTATCTCACTAAGCATGATCTTTTCCAGCTCCATCCAAGTTGCTGCAAGAGACACGTGTTTCTCTTTTTTGGTTGCTGAGTAATATTCCATTGTATATATGTACCACATCTTTCTAATCCAGTCATCTACTTTTGGGCATTTGGGCTGCTTCCATGTTTTTCCAATTGTAAATAAAGCAGCAATAAACATGGGGGTACAAGTATCTTTTTCAATCAGTGTTTTTGTGTCTTTTGGGTAGATACCTAGGAGTGGGATTGCTGGGTCGTAGGGAAGCTCCATGTTTTGCAGTTTGAGGAAACTCCAAACAGTTTTCCATAGTGGTTGTACTAGTTTGCATTCCCACCAGCAATGCAGGAGAGTTCCTTTTTCTCCACAGCAGATAATTATTTTTATACCATTTCTTTATCAAACCACTGGGCCAGAGTGTGACATCTTCCAACGAACTGTTACTCTCCTGATGACAAGAAATCTTGGTGCTTTTATCTTTATTTCATCTTTGTCACAATAAGCTACTATTTTGTCTATGTCATTCCCCAGTGAAGCACCCGCAATATTTGAAGAATCAAGTTCATTGAGAACCACATTTACTGTCACGGCATCACCATGGAGTAAGTCTCCCACCACTTCAGAGTTCCTGTGGGCTGAGACATTACAGCAAATATATGACAATGCAGGAGTTTCCCAGCAGCTGGATTCAACTGAGTTTCCCTGTCTGGTCCCTCCTCTCTCTCACCAACAAGATCACCTCTGGATTCACAGAGGCCTTCACCAGAGCTGTACAGAAAAAAGAATCCATGAACCTCCTCTCTAGAAGCTTCCTACCCCACCTGCCATCATGGTGGGGTGGCTCCTTCAGCATCTACCCTGTCACCTCTGCCATTTCCACTACACCAGCTGGTGTATTTAGGTTGCACCTCTCGGTCAATCTGCACAATTTCCATTCATGACAGTGATTTCTGTCTCCTCAAATCTTAGGGCCATTTAGTAATGACTCAGCTTACCATACAGAACTGCACCTTTTCTCTGACTAGAGTGTGGACAATATTTTGCATTGTGGGATTGAATTGGAGGCTCATTCAAAACTCCTTGCTCCTTTGAGAGGAAGAGACCACAGTTATATGAAAAAGGTGACAGAAGAAGCACTGCAGCCAGCGAGGAATGGTTATAGAAAGATGAGATATTATTCTATGGAGAGTTTACAGACTGAGTTTACCCTATGCGTCCTCCACAGTACAGGGACCTGCCAGTCAGAGAAAGGGACACTTCCCCAGCCTTGGCCATCAGGCCCTGCTCCCAACCCACCGTGGGGCTGATTAGTCTGTG